CTCTGTTCAGCGTGCAGGCTTTCGTGCACAAGCTAGCCAACGTCACCCGTCCTGTATACTGCGCCGTGTCATCGGCGACAAGCAAGAATCCAGTCTGAGCCACACCCAATCTAGAACAGTAATATTCTGCGATGAGAAGACGTAAATGGAGATGCAAAAGGACAAGGAAAAGGAAAACTCTGCTCACGGCCACGAAAGAGCCCGCCGCCACAATCAATTAATGGCCTAGGTACTTAAGTACATATGTCTACTCCGTGCTCCGTACTTTGAGGTGGGTATCTCTCCTTCCTCCGCAACTCTAAATTGGCTGTCAGCTATTGGTGGCAGTCGGGCAGGAGCCAGGAACGTGGCACTCGGTGAACCAACTGCTGGTTGCAGTAGTAACGTACAATTTTCAAACATCTTGCTCTGCTGCACTCTGCCATTCTCATGAAGGCCGAAAATAAAAAGCACACGCGAATTGCCTCATCTCTTGCACTATTTTGCAATCTCTCTTGCCTTGCCGCTGTCTCCTTCTCCATCACTCATTTTGGTTGTCCGAGGCCGCGTGTCGAGGGATTCCTGGCCGTTGACCTGGGCAAGCCACATGCCAGGGCCCAAAAACTGCTGACGTACTTGCCACGGGCCGTTCTCGGCAGCCTCCTGACAACCAACCCCTTCGACCCGTCAAACCTTGCAAATGGGACGACTTTTCTGCACATTGCACTGAATTTTACAAAGAAGTATGTAAAATCAAGCGCTGACATAATTTCGACCCTCCAACACCCAGATGCACAGAACCACAAGCCAGCGGCTAATGTATTGCGTCTACGATCGCAAATGTGTCCACCAAAAAGATGTTGGCTGTATGCGTCATCAACAGTTTGCAGTGGCTGAGGCTGAAGTAGTACGTTCGAGCGTCCTGATGGCTCCGCAGCCAATGAACCAAAGACTCGGACCTAGATCTAGCCAGCAGGTGTTAATAAGTGGCGGAGGGGTTGTGGCTTTTTCAAAACAATGACTGCCGTACCTTGGAGTCTGCTCTGGGAATATCGAAAGATATATCAAAGTGTTCAAGGATGCTGTCTGTCAAAGCTCCGGGATCCGACAGCGTGGTAAGCCCAGCGAGAAGCCATCTACTATAAGCGCCGTGACAACCAGAAATGTCAATCGAGGGACTACTGTCACTGTCTCGACTTTTCATCCATCTCGTCCTTGTCATCAACTATGCCTTCAACCCTATATACAAGTCAGAATTGCCGACATGAAATCATCGGGTCCTAACTCCTCAGCTTCCGCCTCAGCCCTCCAAAGGCTATTATGCGCCCACATAGGCCGAGGCCGAGTCAATTCTGCGCTTGTTATCACAATTATTGGCCGCGAAATCGGAAGGGAAACCAAACCGACCTAGCTGAGGCATTTCCCGCCCTAATTGGATGAGACATAGGCCCTGCTCAAAAGCTGATTTTTGTGGCCATGACGTCTGGAATCACCTAACTATTAGTCTGTTGCGACGCGGTGTGCTCTGATAATCCGCCGCCGCCGTCCTTATTGTACGGGCAAGCCGGCAGGAGACATACGTGACCACATCTCATGCAACGAACAGGCTTTGCCACGCCTGCAAAAGCAATCTGTGGCAATTCACATGGGTCATTAGAGGCACGGGATTGGGTATCATTGTAAGTGCTCAGAGAGGCCATCCTCTTGCTAGGAAATAGCACAACCCCTTGCTAGACATTCGCTCGCACTGAATTCCAACATGGGCACAAGTCTGACATCTCAATCAGAAGTATAAGTAAGTTGGGTTGACACATCATCCAAAGTCAACACGACCAACCAAGTGAAGCACGAGGAGCTTGCTTAAGATGCCTATTCGCGCATTTGGGGTGGCGGCATATGTGTGTGTCGCTGTCTTCTCCATTGAGCAAAACTTGTCGATTGGTTCGCGAGGGCAATGTGGTTGCAGTGCCATTTATGATTGGTCCGCTGCGGCTTATCACTTCGACCTTCTCGAGTCCGCCGACTTACACGCCATGAAGCCAACGTCCGATTCGTCTCTTTTACTGTGAGCCACTGAGCACATGCATACATACTGTCAATCTCTCGTGACGAAATGTGCATGAGTGTCGCGTTCGCTGTGCCAACAGCAGAGGTTCGCCCGGTACAACGCAATAACTGGAAGCCGGTCAAATAACCGCACGGTTCGACACCATGGTACAGAGAAAAGCCCCTCGTCTTTGACGCCTAGACATTATTTTGAAGTACTAGTACCTGGTTCCCGACTTGAGTATGCTATCGATATCGGGAGCAGTGCCGTTGCATCCCATGCAAGCAAGATATTTGCCCCTCATCTGGATGGAGGGGTTTCAAGCACAGCCGTCCCTGCTTGACGACCCCTGCCTGACCGTGGCCGTCATCACTGCATATGCCGACGAACAGGGTCCAATTCTGAATGCTCGTGGCGCACACAGGGGACACCATTGTGGCCAAACGCGAGTTCCCGCCCGCAGATGGAGTCATGTGCCGTGCTGAATAGCTTCGATTCCGGATCTCCATGGCCGCTCACTGCGACCACGTGGTGTCACGTTGGGCTGCGTCTGCAAGTCCAATTATACCAGGCCAGGCAGAGAAAAGAAAGGCTGTATCCCCGCGACCGCGATTGCAAAATATGAGCTGTGATTGTTTTTTAACTTCGTAAACCTTTGGAAAAGCTCGTCACAATCAAGTTGGCGCATCGCCTCCGGATCTGAATCGCAATGTCGTCAGCCAAGTTCGCCGGTGGCTCATCGCCGTGCAAAGAACATGACCTGTCTCAATTCCCAACGTTTTTGAAGGGAAAACGCATCCTTCTTTGCACCGAGTCGTTCGGCCCTGTCAACGGCGTGAGTCGCACGACACTGATGCTTGTGAACCATTTGCGCAATAACGGCGCGCAAGTGGCAGTGGTAGCGCCTCACAACCATACAAACCACAACACATTCTCGCCGCCCCCTTCGCCTAACCTGTCGCCCGCCGACCGACAGCCTGAAGTTCGTGTGACGGGCTATCCTCTTCCATTCAATCCCGAGCTTTCAATTGTGTACCCAGTTCGCAACTCAAGCCTTTACTCGCGGACGTTTGGCGACGACTCGTCGCCCGACTTGATCTATTTGGCCTCGCCTGCGAGTTTGGGGTTCCAGGTCATGCTTCAATTACGCCAACAGCCACGCGAGAAGCAGATACCCATTATTTGCAACTTCCAGACGGATCTTGCTGGATACTGTGCAATTCTTTTCCCTTCACCCTTGAGCCATATTGCTGTTTTTGCATTTGATGCTGTCCAGAGCTATCTCTTCCGACACTCCTCCGTCAAGACCATATTCTACCCTTCAAGATTTGTGCGACGTTACCTCGTCCACAACAAAGTGCAGCCCGAAAAGCTCCAACTCTTGACCAGAGGTGTGAATACCGAAATGTTCGACCCTAAGCGACGAAGTGAGGAGTTGCGCAAGAAGCTTGCTCCAAATGGAGAGATTATCTTCGTCACCGTCTCAAGAATTGCCGGTGAGAAGGGCTTCGATTTTCTTGCCAAGGCAGCCAAGGAACTTGACGCACGGGGATTGGACTTCAAGCTTTACATTGTTGGCGGTAACAGAAACCCAGACGTTGAAAAAGAGGTGCAGGAATTGTTTGATCCACTTCGAGAGCAAGGCAAGGTTATCTTTGCAGGATTCAAAGTCGGCGAAGATCTTGCGACTGCATATGCAAGCGGCGACGTCTTCCTGCACTGCTCCATCACGGAAACCTTTGGTCTCGTAGTACTTGAGTCCATGGCCAGTGGCGTGCCGGTCATCGCCCGTGATGAAGGTGGTCCGTCTGACATAGTTCAACACGGCGACACTGGCTTCTTAATACCCCCGAATGACATGGACGCGTTTGTGACAAAGGCCGTGAAGCTGGCCACTGACCACATCTTGCGGAAACGCATGGGTGTAGCAGCCAGAGAAGCCGCCTGTCAAGCGACGTGGGACAAGATCAACAACAAGGTCGCCTGGCGCATGGCTGATACTATTTCAGAGCGTATACGTGAGTGTGAAAAGGTGAGGCAGTTGTCAGAACACGCTGCTCTGTCATCAACCGCACAACAGCTCGTCCCAATTTACGGCTGGCTCATGATGAATAACGCATTGCGTGAGGCCATGACGCGCAGTATCATCGACGCCAGGTTGATGGGTGGTCTCGGCATAATCATCACCTTTTGGGCAGTCACCGGCTGCTACGTGCTTTTTACAGAGTGTCTCATGTGGGCCAAGGGTCGCATGAGGGCCGGAGACCGCAAAGTCTCTGTTACAATCTAAAGCGACATTGTCAAATGTAGTGGTTACAGTCGGAGTTTCAGGGGCGTGCTTTTCACGATACATGAACGTACATGAGTAGGATACGAACGGCGTAAAGTGGGCTGGTTCAATACATTCTTCTTTTCCTTTTGCTTTCCTTTTCTTCATGCATACACGTCCTTGTCTCATGTGACAATAGCGGCTTCGCCTATTACTACCCTCTCCCATCTCGGGGTGAGATTAGCGCTAGCGGACAAGCATGCATGGCGGCAGCCAAGACGGCAGCCATATTGCCGAAACCAATGTGACACGGGTCGGTTCACACATTCTTGTGTTTTACTTTTGTTTATATACCTGGATCGAAGATATACCCAGAATGGTTGAGCCTCAAATATATAGTTGAATCTAATATGCAGTCGTTTTTGACCACGACGAGTCACGGCGAACCGTGTGTGGCTAAGGAAGGACTATATATAAATGCGGTGTTGTGCAATTTCCACGATGATTCAATACATTATTTGTATTAAGTGCCCTAAGAGACGAGCTAAGATTGTAAAAATGAACAAAAAAAAGGAAAAGTAAGATCCCAACGCTGAATTCCAAGGCTGATGCAATGTCTCCAAGGCTCGCTATGCCAAGATATAATTTTAATGTGACCACCTCTAAGCCATGCCCATCACTGTTCCATCCTTGATACTACATGACTCAAATAGTTGATGTGAATCTAGTACCCGCCAAATTCCTCTTGTACCTTTCCGCATAATTCATTCTCTCATATGTGCCCCAGCCGTATGCAAGAAGCCCCAGGCCGAGCCAGATAGATGTGATGATGGCTCCAATAGGGAATATCATGATCTGCGTGCCGGGTAGAATGAAGGCTATAGTGCCGTTGTGTAAGAGGTCCAGCTGTTTAGTGACGGCTGCTTGGGCTGCTGAGAAGTCGGACATGACGACGGATTTGCTGAAGACGCCGGTCAAAAAGGAAGCCTCGTTCATAGAGACATTCGTTTGAACTGTACCGCCAGTGGAATTGGTAGCGGTCAATGTGAAGGTCGGGATGAGAACGGCTTCGAAGGCAGCCCTATAGCATGTTGTGAGTGACTGCATGAAGACGAGGTAAAAAGGAGCAGCGGGTTGGGAGCCCCGAGATTTTCATGGCTACACGACAACTTACAATGACATGTTTTCCGCAATCTTTGCCTTATCAATCTGGCCTACAAACACATAGCTTTGAACCAAGCTGGGGCCAGGTGAATCTCGCGGCGCGACAACCTTGGTCTCATTGTCCACTTGGCCCATGCCCATCAACTCGTCGGCTGAGACGGGGCTCACACTCGCACCCTGATATGATACACCGACTCTGATTTTCTCTGGAGGAATATTGGCGAATGCATCTCGGGGCTCCGAGACACGAAATAGTCGTAGGTCCGCTTCGAAAACGCCCGTTACGGTATCGAGTGTAGGCAAATTGTAGCATATACAATTTCCTGAAGGGTTCGAGCTGCGGTGGAGCGTGGTGAGGGCTTTAATACAGGCATCATTGGTGGCTATCCCCCACGCTGTCATGTTGAATTTGCCATCGCTGTTTACTTTGACGGCATTCGCGTCTCCCGCAGCAGCACTGGCGCCACTCCCCTGTCGCCTTCCGAGCACCGGCGCAGCAGCAGCATTGACAATATCTGAAAATGGTCGTTCCAGGACATCATCAGCTCGGAGTATGGTATTGCCGCCCATGAAGCTCATGGCGGCCAACGTCGTGGAAACCAGGTAAACCGCCGACATAGCCATGCCGACAGGAGTTCGCATGACAGGCTGCACTTGACGACGGCCAGCGAACCTGACCAAAGCTCCTTGCTGAGTAGTGTATTTTTCGGAAAGCGTTATCGTTTTCCCAAGTGGTCTTGTTGCTGGGCATATGTTGCGTTCTGAATATTTTCCCTGATCAGATCGACCGGCCGCGCCTGGCGAATTGCGATCGATCCACAAAAGATTACTGGCACCGGTATTAGACAATTAAGATGATCATGCCGAGAACGAGCGGTGTATTCAATTCGGATAGTTGTCGATGCGCCGACGAGTTTGTGTTTTCACCCCAATTCACGGTCAACGGAAAAGAGGTTGTATGTAGGAACGTAAATGAGCGGCTCAACTCGACTCGACTCGACCTCGACTCGTGAAAGAGTAGCGCAGTACATAAAGTGGGCAGGGATATAAAGAGCCAGACGGCAATAATAAAAGGTGTTGGCGTGCGAGAGCCAAGGGTGCAACTGATATGTCTGCTCGGCACCGATGCTGCCGAACAACGACGACTTCTCTGGTCCGTCACATTGGCGCGGCAGCTTAGTTTCATTCCCTGTTACGAGGATCAGGTCAGGCCATCCGTCAGTTGCGGTGGCGGTTCTGACCGCTGTGGCCGCAACCATGGTTTGATCTCGCAGGTTACAAGCCGTAGACTTGATAGAGGTATGGAGCCATTGTACATACGAAGTTGTGATGAAGAACTCAAAAACCCCTGGCGCACCGTCTCCAAGCCTCTGCTTTGATACTCGGCAACGCATGTGATTGGCCGATCTGAACATGACAAGGGCATGGGTTTGGGACTAGTTGGTGAGACGTCGTGGGAGTGCCACACCAGCCAAAGTCCGCTATTGAGACATTGACGAAACCGTTAGGACTGGCGATGAAGCAGAGATGGCCCCGGGTAGACAAGAACCTGTCATGCCAGTGTATGAGAATGATTTTCTTGTTAGTGATATCCCGGCCGATACGAGAGCCACAAAATAGAAGGGGGCGAGAGAGACATCGCGAGAGAGGAACCCCCTTCCAAAAGGAACACACGCCCCGTGAACTAAAATCTGGGGCCTTGGTGTATGAGCCCTCGTACCATGCGGCCGCTTGAGAGGCGAGAGGTGGAGAGACGCTATCTTTTTATGCCTGCGGTGGCGCATACCCACAGACGTGGTGTGCAAGAGCTTGGAACGGATTGATGAGACGAACGGCGGTGCTGCTGGAATTGTGGCCCGGGAGGTCTTCTTGGCTTCTGAGCGGGTGGACCAACCCTTTGTTGTTCGTGAGGCTGTGCGGAAGATAAATATTGAAGCCAAGATTCAAGGCGCGAGGCACTTCGTGAGTCCGTAGTGAAGGGACGTGGAACGTGGAAATGGAGCATTCAGTGTTGAAGACGATTGAGACCAGTGACAGAAAACTGATGATGGCCCCCCCCCCCCTGTGCGTTGCACATGTGTCAGGTTGACGCGAGTTGCAAAGTTAAGATGTTGACCAAGTCATACGTTTGCCCGCGTGCGACCTGGTGTTCTGTAGGGCGAGATGCATGTGACGACCTGAGCAAGGGCAAGGGGAGGCGGGATGTGACGCTGAAGATGACTGGCTGATGGGCTGACGATTTGACGAGGCTCGGAGTGCTCGAGCCCACGCAACTACGCAAGCCAGGGGTCAGGGCGTTTCAGACGACCCAATCTGGACATGCCCGCTGCGTAAGGCAAGAGCCCTCGAGCCACTCGGAGGATAGTATCTACTTAAAGTACGGAGTACTCCGTAACGCGTATGTATGTACGTGAGATAAATACTAATACGGCGCACCATGGACCTAATTCAATAGTTCAAGGTGCCTAATTGTGGCTCCACGTGTCCGGGGTGCCGGTTGACGCGGCCAAAAGAAAAGATATAAACATGCGTGATGGCGACGGGGGCATGTGTGTAGATACATGATCTCTGCCTCTTTCAAAAACTCTCCATGTACCCGTACAGTGGGGTTGGAAGTTGTAAGTATTTGACCCCCTTTGGAGTCATGTCATTCAACGCCGCCCGGGTGGCCGAACTACTTGTGATACTTGTGTCCTGAGCTGTAGCTGAGTCGATGAATTCCCTGCTGCACCTGTTACTTCTTCAAACATCCCTTTACTTGTCCAAAACATTAGCAAGCATCCAGACCTTGCGCCCGATAAGAAAAAATGCACTCCGATTTTTCTGCGCAGGATGTCTGGCAGGCGCAAATTGCTGTAGCCATTTCGCAGTATTTATTGTACTTGTACTGTATGTAAAAGTAGCCGGCGCTTGTGGTGCTGGGCAAAACCCGACCAACGGTGTGACTGGTGTGAGTGATGTGACTGTGACTGTGACTGCGGGCAAGCTTGTCGGCGCCTCATGATTCGCAAAGCCCCGACATGGTACATTCTGGGTCTGCATGAGAGCGGCATCACCATCATGGTCATCTCATGATGCCGACAGATGGGCCGACGTTGAAAGATGGAAGCAGCATCTGATAATACCAACTTATAACTGCCGCTTGCCACAGAAAAGCGAGGCGCTTTGCAATTTACCCTAGTTAATGATCGTCCTCGGCTACGAGTGGAGCGACGCATCGTAATCTCACAATCACAAAATCTCCGCCTTGACGAGATGAAATTAATGGGCGTCGGTGCGCTGTTGGCTGCGTATTTTTAGTCGTACTGAGGACTCTCAGATCTTTTGATCTTTGGCGATGATGCTCATACATCCAAAGCTCGTGGGTGTTCCATTGTATGGGCGTCAGCTTTGGCTTCTAGAAGCCATGGCTCACGAACCCATCCATCTGGGCCGCAAACAGATGCGACACCGCCACCCTCAACCTTGGGATAGAATGCACCGAGTACTAGATTACTAGTCTACTGAGTGTCTCTTTTCTTTTCCTCGTCTTGCCGAGTTCTTTTTGGGCTGTACAATTCTATTTTTGATTTTTGTCTTTTTTTTCTTTTTTGCCTATATTTCCCCTCGTTGCGGCAACTCGGCTGACTTTCGAAGCGTGTGCTGCTGGGTGTGTTTATTAAGTAATCCAAGCCGACCTTGGCTGTCCTCATTGAACACATGTGCCGCTGGTGATGGAATCATGAAGCTGCCTGATGACGTGCCTGGCTGCACGCATTTTCCAGCCCACCCATGGCACCTTAGCAGCTGACAAACGAATGCACCCACCGGCAAGCTTAGCTCCCCAGCTACTAGCTTCAACTGTCGCTTACGGTTAGTTACTGAGCGCGACTGGCTGCCGGGGCATTTGGAAATCGACGGCGTTGTTCGTGGTGACTCCCGAGTTATGGCTGGGAAAGAAACATTGAAGGAATAAAAAAAAAGGGTTGACTTTGTCTTTGATGCCGGCCATGAGTGAGTGATGAGCGCAGCATTTGCCTGAGGCAGGCCATCGTCTCTGTCGGCCCGAAAGACTACCTAGGTACGGAGTACTTGATGAACCTCCTTCCATGTCAACCTCCACCACTTCTTCACGGCCGTGTGTGCTGGGAAGATTAAGCATCAGGAATCAATCCAGATTATCTCTGGCCTGCCAGGAGCCCTATTGGCTTGTAGGCTGTCACGATGACGGCGAATGCGGATCAACTCCAGGCGTCCTCCACATAACGCATCCCGTTAGCAGCCATGTGGCGCCGCCGATGTTCGTCTTTGCCATCCGAACCCGCTTCGCAGCATATCAGAGGCCAATCATGGCAGCCAGGGCCTGATCGCGCCATCACCTCCCACGCCTTTTGTGTGTTTGCTATGGTTGCATGGTGGTAGCTTTGGGCTGTACCCAGAGTGCAAGCTTGCATGGAGCCGATGGTGATGGATCATGGTGCTACAAAGGGCACAAATGTCGCGGTCTGCGTCGTCGTGTACAAAAGGCGAGCGTCGCATTGACTTGTCCATTGCCAACCCTTTTCCAAGTTTCCCATCCTCGCGCCGGCTCGTCCCTCCCCTCCGCATAGGGCCAAAGAGTCCGAGCCGTTGCCTCTCAAGATCGATCCTTCACCATGGGCTACGGCGCCACCGATGCAGACGAGCGGTCGCGCGGCCGCGACGACGAGTACAACAGCAGCATCGACCTCAGCGATGATGATGCTGCAATTGTGCCCAAGGGAACTTTGGATCCTGTCTATGAAGCCAAAGCCAGACTTTTGAATCGCGCTGTACGTATTATCCATGTACTTTGTTGTTTCCCAGTTTGTTGAATCAGCCTCTCATTGAAGCCGAGAGACTGCTCCGCATTTCACAATGCACCGTGCAATTTCACCTGGTAAAACAAAGTCTTGCTAATATTCCGCCTCCAACGCAAAATACAGATTCGTGATATTGGCATGGGATGGTACCAATGGCAGCTTTTCATCGTCGTGGGGTTTGGCTGGGCAAGCGACAATCTGTGGCCAATCGTCACCTCACTCATCCTGCCCGCCATCTCCAACGAGTTCAACGTATCGAGACCGCCGCTCTTCACGCTTGCGCAGAACATCGGTCTCCTGGCTGGGGCGGTATTCTGGGGGTTCGGGTGTGACATCTTTGGCCGCAAATGGGGCTTCAACCTGACTCTGGGTCTCACGGCCGTCTGGGGAATGGTTGCGGCCAGCGCTCCCAATTTTGCCGCCGCCGGCGTCTTTGCTGCTCTGTGGTCGTTTGGTGTTGGCGGCAACCTGCCAGTTGATTCGGCCATCTTCTTGGAGTTCCTCCCGCAGTCGCACCAGTATCTGCTCACCATCCTGTCATTGGACTGGGCGCTGGCCCAGGTCATCGCCAACCTGGTGGCGTGGCCGCTGCTGGGTAACTTGACGTGCGACGAGAAGGAGAAGCCCTGTCTCCGCAGTCGCAACATGGGCTGGCGTTACTTTGTCATTGCCATGGGGGGCTTGACCCTGCTCATGTTCCTGGCCCGATTTTTGCTCTTTACAATCCACGAATCGCCAAAGTATTTGATCGGCAAGGGACGAGATGAGGAGGCTGTTCGTGTCATCCACGAGGTAGCGAAGCGAAACGGCAAAACCGTCACCCTGACTATCGAAGACCTCAGGGCGTGTGAACCGGAAGGCTATGTCGCTCAGACAGATGCAGCTGCAGCAGTGAAGCGACATCTTGAAAAGGTCGATGCCAAGAAAGTCAAGGTCCTATTTGCTACCACGCGAATGGCTCTCAGCACTAGTATAATGATGGCCATCTGGGCGCTGATTGGACTTGCATATCCTCTGTACAATGCCTTCCTACCTTACATTCAGGCCAGCAAAGGCGCACAATTTGATGATGGTAGCACGTACATCACCTATCGCAACAGTCTCATCATTTCCACCCTTGGTGTCCCAGGAGCGCTTCTGGGAGGCGTGCTGGTGGAGTTGCCCCGGATCGGACGAAAGGGCACGCTCTCAGTCTTCACGGCACTGACGGGCGTCTTTTTATATTGCTCTACCACGGCGTTGAACAGCACCGCTCTTCTTGGCTGGAACTGTGCATTCAACTTTTGCAGCAATGTCATGTACGCGGTGCTGTACGGCTACACGCCCGAAGTGTTCCCTACTCCCCAACGAGGAACGGGCAATGCTCTGACGGCGACTAGCAACCGAGTTTTCGGTATCATGGCGGTAAGTCACATTTCGAACGGGGGAGTGGTTGGCAGTTTAAAATGGAAACGCGCGAGGATCTGGCTAATTTCTATTTCTGGTAGCCGATTGTTGCCATGTTTGCAAATCTTCAGACTGCCGCACCGGTGTATACAAGCGGCGCATTATTTATTGCTGCGGGCATACTGGTTTTGTTATTGCCATTTGAGTCGAGAGGAAAAGCAGCGCTTTGAGGCGTATGTATATAAGAAATCGATATAATAGTACATGCTGCGGATGCAATGGAGTGGGCCTTGGGTTTGATAGGTGCATTTACAAGGTGGGTTCTCCCTTTGCGTTGAGGGGGCTTTAGAACGGGCGTGTTCATTATAATATGCGACGTTTGTTGTTAGTCGGACGCGTGGGAGATGGTCTTAGACAAGGGCATAATGATGATGGAATTGACCTGTTCGAGGCTGGTTATGGGCATATAATTAAACCTCTGTTGGACACTGCCACTATCTATTCAAAATGTCAAGGCTGGAGTGACTTGAGTCTATGACCATTCTGATGACGCCGGACTCTGCTTGTGAAATAGCACATGTGTAAATAAATAAATAAATAGTAGATGCTGGAGAGCATACTCTGTCTGGTACGCCGTAGAACAACAGAAAACAAGGTGAAGAGCGGGGCATAGGCCACAACCCCCACTACTAATGCACCCCCCACCATTGTACACCGAGGTGGCCGTGCAACCGTGGCGCCCAACCACTTGATGCCTCTCCTTTAACAATTCCTCATTCCTCATACGACTTTGGGCCGCCATGCTGCATCCTCTTCTAAACGTGGAAACACCGTTTTGTATGGACACTTGTGTGTCCCTTCCGTATCCGGCTAATCACCAAGAGACCAATTCATCAATGTTGGGCAGCCGCAAACAAATTAGCAATTTCCACATCACGTGAGGCAGAGAAATCGAGCTTCCATTGTCCTGCATTGTGCCGTTTCCCCATAACTTTAGAATCCACACTAGTAATATGCTCCTGCGCCACTTCGCGATCCCAGGCGAACCGTGAGGGAGTTTCTGACCATTGGTCCAGCCGCTATTTCAATTTACATACATCAGATACACCAACGCGTGTGAAGTAGGCCTCGTCCTACGTTTTCCCTTCCTCTCCCCCGGAAACTCAGGTAGTAGAGTTGCCATGGCTCAGGACAAGAAGAAGCCGCCCAGCGCGGAGCCCCAAGAGACGTATTCCTCTGGCCGCGTCAACCGAGAGATCCGAGATGTCCCTGACGTGCGACTGCTACACTACAACGATGTCTACCATGTCGATGCGGCGAGCGCGGAACCGGTTGGAGGGCTCGCTCGCTTTATGACGCTGTGCAAGGAATATCAAGAAGGGAAACAGTTTGAGAACCAGCCAAAGATCTTAACCTTGTTCTCCGGCGATGCTTTTAACCCTAGTCTGGAGAGTAGCGTGACCAAGGGTGAGTTCTTTGATAGCCTCGTTTGCAGGCATGCCGTGCAAATGCTCACTATTCCCAAGGACGCCACATGGTTCCTGTTCTGAATGCCATTGGAACCGACTGCGCATGTGTTGGTGTAAGTTGACGCTTCGCCAACCCTTGCATCCCACAAAGATTGGACATGGCTAACCGCAGGTTCGCTTGTCAGAATCACGACTTTGACTTTGGCGTCAAGCAATTTGAATACCTAGTAGGAAAATGCACATTCCCCTGGCTCATTGCCAACGTCCTGGACCCAGATCTCGGCGAGGACGTACCCATTGGCAATGCCAAAAGAACACACATGCTCACCACATCCAACGGTATAAAAGTTGGCCTCATTGGCCTGGGCGAGCGGGAGTGGCTGGCAACGATTAATAGCCTGCCGCCTAATCTCGTTTACAAGTCTGCGTCCGCGACGGCGAGGGAGCTGGTTCCAAAGTTGCGAGAACAAGGCGCTGAAATTGTCATTTGTTTAAGCCACATGCGGGAACCAAATGATAACAAGCTTGCGGAGCAGACCGATGGCCTCATTGATATCATACTCGGTGGTCATGATCATTACTACAGCCATAGCTTTATCAAAGGCACCCATGTGCTGCGGTCGGGTACGGATTTCAAGCAACTCAGCTACATTGAAGCCCGGAGGAAAACGGATGGATCGAAGCGGTGGGATTTCGACATCTGGAGGCGGGACATCACATCGGAGGTTCCGGAACATGAGGAGACGGCGAAACTGGTGGGCGAGTTGACGTCCAAGTTGCAAAAGTCCCTTTCGAGACCGATCGGGTGGACGGCCATGCCGCTGGATGCTCGCTTCAGCACCGTTCGAATCAAGGAATCTAATCTGGGCAATTTTGTGTGCGACGTCATGCGCCGATACCACAACGCGGATTGCACAATCATGGCATCGGGCACTATTCGTGGAGACCAGGTGTATCCCCCAGGCGTAGTGCGTATCAAGGATATCACAACGTGCTTCCCCTTCGAAGACCCGGTCGTGTGTCTGAGAGTCAAGGGCCAGGCCATTTGGGATGCATTGGAGAATGGAGTGTCGACATACCCAGCCTTGGAGGGTCGGTTTCCCCAAGTGTCAAATATTGTGTTCGAATTCGATCCCAGCAGGGAGCCTGGGAAGAGATTGAATTTCATGCAAATAGGCGGCCGGCCTTACAACCCAGAAGATGTATATGTCCTGGTCACAAGGGGATACATGGGCAGAGGGAAAGGTGAGTAGATATGCCTCCATACCGGCACTCCAACGCAGTCGTACTAATTCCAATTAGATGGCTACACTAGCCTTCTCGTCTCCTCCGAAGGCGGTAGTGCCCATGAAATCGTCGACGAAGAAAACGGCATCCTCATATCCGCCATACTCCGGCAATACTTCATGGCCCTCCGGACCATCGGGCAATGGAAACGCATTTCAGACCACTGGGTCGATGTGGCAGAGCAAGCCAACGTGCCCTTGTCGCCCTCGCACTCACGCGACGACTCGGAGAAGATGCTGGGTCTTCACAAGCCACCCAAGACAGATGACGAAGCAGCAGGTGCAACGTGGAGGGGTTTTCTCCGGCGAAGAGTCGGCCTGCACAAAGAACCTTTGAACGAAGACGATGACGACCATTTTGATCCCCACGCAAACCACAAGGACAGCAGTGAAGAAGGTGGCGATGAGGATCTAGACATGGATTTGGAGATTTTGTTGCTGAGAAAGTTCTGGGCGAGGTGGGCAAAGAAGGCGGGCGTCAAGTCCAAGGTTTGTGAGCCCCTGAAAGACGGGGACTGCGCCGTCGACTGGACAAGAGTTATTGCGCCGGTTTTGGAGGGACGCATCAGGATGGTTGGAGGAGATTTATAGAGTTGTTCCACGATGAAACGAATAAATACGCCAGTCAATATATATGAGGAGGACCTGACATTAGTCCTCTCCTGTTTTATTCGTATTATGTACAGTTTGCGTCTACCCGATTTACAGTCGTGCCGTGCTTGGTTTAAACGAGCATCCTTGCATGTAATTTTTTCCCCCATCTTCTTTTGTCTTTAGTCGCCCTGGAGCTACTGATGCGATGCCAACAGCCATCTATTGCGAGCATCGACCGCCACGACAGACCAGAGAATCAGCACAGTCGTTCTCGTTACGGCAAGAGGCACCTAATGTTTCAATCATTAGCGTTCTACAGCGTGAACAATGGACTTTGGGGGCGAGAATGCGCAACGACGCGTACCCTGGCAGTGCCCTTCCCAGCTACACGGCGGCGGCGGAGGAGGAGTCGAACCACCCGCGCTGCTGCATTTCCCAGCGTTGCAGACCAACTCGTCGGAGCAGTCGTTTTCAGACTTGCAGGGAGCGCCTAACCGGACCATTAGTGCCTTTGAATTTCTCTCCTGGACGTGGTACACTGCTTGAGTGACTGGCGATGTGACGATGTCATCTCCAACCATATAGCTACAGGAAAGGGGGAAAAAGAAGGGAGGAAAAATGCAACATTAATCAAAGAAAGCCACTCACCTTCACAGTGTCCCTCCCAGGAGCAAGATCCAGTAGGAGGAGGCTGGTTCCCGCCGCCGCCGCCGCCCCGCCGCCGCCGCCGATTCTCTGAATCAGCTTATTCCCCAAGCCGGTGATGCTGTTCTCAAACTCGTCGTAGTTCTGGGCATTCCATTTGGCGCCCTTGGCCCCGGGGACGGCGTCCTTGCCCGGGAAGGCAATGTACAAGACGTCGTTGTCGTCGTGGCCCGAGTTGCCGTTGATGCCGCGGCCAAAGCACGCCGTGGCAAGGGAGATGGAGGCTTCGCCGACCATGGACTCGGAGCCGTCGTCGCCGTTCTCGTCGCCCCAGACGCCGTAGATCTGCGAGACGGAGGGTTTTCTTTTAGTAATCGGCACTCGCTATGGCCTGTGTGTAGTGCTGAGCAGGGACATGTCACATACCAGCTTGTTGTTGCACACGACGGCCATGACGCTCAGCGGCTCGACGCCGTACTTCCTCGGGTCAAAGTTTGCAAAGCCCTTCCTGCTGCCCGTGTTGCCAAAGACGACGTACGGATGGGCATTGGCGTCGAGATCGCGCTGGCCGGTGCCGTAGCCGCGTAGGGTGTCGGCAAAGGACGTGACGGACTGGGTGTCGCCCGAGGAGCCGCAGCGACCGTCGTCGGCTGGGCCGTGCTGGATGCCGTCGCAGTCAATGTCCATGTTGACCAGCTGGCCGTTTTTGCCCTGCAGGTAGATGACGTTGTAATCGCTGATGTGGTCGCCGCAGTAGTCAAAGTCTATGGGCTTCATGTCAGGGCTCTCTGTCTATGTGTGTATGTGTGGTCGAGGTCGCCAAGAGGGGAGCGGAATATAAAATGCCCTATTACGAACAGAGTCACTTACTTCCTGAATCTCCGTCTATGCTATGGAAGCCCCCGGCGAGAACGTTGCGGCATTGTCCCTGGCCTCGGATGCTGTTGTAGAAGCTCTTGACGTTGGCGGGAACATCGCGAGCTGCGGCCACGGCAGCCAGGGCCGAGAGGGAGACGGCAACGGAGGACTTGATGACCATTTTGTGTGATAGAAGGATTGGTTGCTTGGCTACTTGTGGGCTATGAGTGTTTGCTTAAGCCGTCTGGAGTCATCTACCATGTTGCACGGCGAGACGTGGTTTTTATATTCTACGGGTGGTTGACCCCGAGACAGCAATGCTTCCGGTGGACTAGCAAAGAGTCAAGACTCGGATGGATTTTTCAACGGGCTTACTTGTTCACATGATGGCATCTGTCGAAACCGGCCAAGAATGTCGCCAAAATCGGGGCCCTGGGGCGAGCTTCCCGTGGCTCATCCGCGCGGGACGTCGCCAGGTCCAGGCCATCGAAGCATCGCATCGTGACAAAAGAGCTGCATCATTCCTAACTGGTGGAAAATACCGTCCGCGGTTCTGGCCCTGGTTGCATCTGGGGCGTAGGGATGCGGGCACAGCCGCAGATTGACAGCTTGTACTCCATGCTCGGTAGAATCTAGATGGAGATGTAAGACGTAGGTGGATACGGCGAACCAATGACAAGAGGTCCAGTCTCTTTGTTGGATTCGCACCAGAGCTGGCCCCGGGCTTCGAGGCTTTCCTAGCGACCGATCTGGTGGTGGCTGTCTGGCTCCCTCCGAAGCCAAGAAATCTTGGGCGAGAGGCGTCACATCAAGATTGGCCTCGCCGAGGGCTCGTCGCTTTGCGTATGGAACAAAACTCAACTCTAATTGTTGCGCCAGTGAGGTTTGGCGGAGGCAAGTTTCGCCGGGGATCGAGTACTACAATGAATGGCACCCTTGAGGCTTGCTGGAAAAGGGAAGTATTCTTCGACGAGTGGATGGCCGTGCGGCAAAAGAGCAACCAACCAGCGGCATCCCAGAAAGGTTTCGTGAGTCGTGACTCTCGTCCATGGACTCCATGCCATGCACACCGTACCTAGTTGCTGACCTCTATGCTTCCGGTTGCAAACTCGACGATGCGGCACTGCTCATCCCATTTCCAAGTGGGTGCGTAGTTTCGCAACTTTTCTCAACCTAGAGAGAATCAGACCATTGCGGGCCTGTTTCTGCAACATCTGGGCATCCATGCATGCTGCTGGCTATTGCTGACGGGCTGCCGGATAATCATATCGGACAACCTCAGCCAAGTCTCACGCATCGAGCGGGTGTCGAATGCGCCATTTTCCAAAAGAATTTAAAGCAAAAATTAAGCATGCGACTTTCAGTCTTGACATTCCAAGGAAAACATACTGTCCGACCACGTGGGTGCGTGGCATCCCACGAGTCTGCCGCTTCGTCGCCGTCCGCCAGGCCGTCAAGCAAGCAAGCAAGCAAAGCGACAAGACGCTGCAGAAATAGGCCATGACACACAATTATGGTTCAATCGCTTCAACAAACTTTATTCTGTTCCGTCAATGCATTTTCAACAGAAAACTTCAGCACTGATGCTAGTGAAAACGCCATGCCCAAGGCTCCCAGCCCGCCTTACGCCTCTGTCCGCCTAAACACTCTCATCGCAAAAGCCTTAAGTTTGAATCCCCCCCTCTCACCCCCCCCAAAAGAGTCCCCCAGTTGATAGACAATCAGGTCTAGGCTCATTGCCTGCGATAGCAACCAGGAGGCGTCCTAATCGCCAAAGTCGGCCCGTTCCTGTCGCCCACGCCGCCCGCCGCCTCCTCCTCATCACGCCATATGCTGTACCCAGGCGGAGGCGTATCATCGCTATCAGCATCGCTGCTGTCACCATTCGCTTCGCCGCCATCGCCCGCAGGTTCGTTCTGCGGAGTCATCTCTTGCAGAGGAATAGTTTGATTCTGTTTGCGGGCCCTTCGCTTCTGGAGGCCCCCTGTGATGGCCGACGTGATGCATCCGAGTATGGTCAAGACGATGCCGAGCGCAAAGAGGCTCACAATGACGAGGACGATGGCGAAGAAGACGGTTTCTGAAGTATTCTTCAGATCGCTGATGGTTTCGAGCGCCATCGTGGAAAAGTAGTTCTTGATTTTGCACGGTTGCTTCTTGCCGGCGTAGTTGCACTGTTGTCTTGGTTAGAGTTTCTCTCGTATGATGAACTGGATACCAGATGATTTTTCAGATACCAAAGGAGAATATTAACGTGTGAATTGTTTCGCTCTGTAGTCAAGTGAAATTACAAGCACGATATGAGTATCCCAAAGGAGAATATGAACGAAAAAGCTCAGGTATTTATATATGTCTTCACGAAAAAAAGTAGTCGAGTTAGTGCCAGGTTGTGCATGCGTGGCGTAAGGGTAAGTTGCGTCGGCGAGCTTTCGTGATACTAGCATCAACACCATACTCGCGCCTGGATCGCTGTCGAGAAGAACAATTCACTTTTAATCTTCTCCTAATGCACCCGGAGAAGTTAGCTCTCAGTAATTCTCGCCAAACACAGCATTGCCCTGCACAGCAGTACCAGGCTGCGGCTGCGTTAAAGGCGACGGCATGAAGAAGCTGTCTCAGAATAGAGCGCCTCCTAATCGAAATAGAACGCAACCGCTTTTCCTAGCATCTGCCACTATCCAAATATACATTAAGAAGACAAGGGATACGGAGCTTCTGCGGCCTGACAACTCGGTTGGACGGCACAGAATGCTCCGAATTCCATGAACTCTGTAGCGCTCTGCAAACGCAAGGCCCCGTCACCCACCCGCCATCTTCGAGGGGGGGTGGTGGCTGCTCCAAAGCATGTCCAGTATCATAATGTCTATCTAAGATGAAATATTTCATCATTGAGAAAGGCGGTGATGGCTTTCTACGGTCCTGCATTAAGGGAGTGTCGATAGCAGGCTACATCTGCCCACACAAGACGGTAATGACACTAGTGGCGAGGATGAGAAAGGCTTCTCATATAATACCAACTTTTTCTGGGAAAGAAGCGACCTCTAGTGTAAGACAGAATGTGCTGAGGCCGAACGGGAAGTGACGATGATGCAAAAAGTCGTGGATTCCATGAAACGATGGGTATCGGAATTTGGAACATAAAAGTGAGGCGTATAAAAATTAGCACAATGCGTATCCGTATAAAGCGTTTGGGGATGCTGGTTTAAATAGCCGTTTCAATGCCGCCAATCCCTGACTTGCATCCAACCTCTTAACGCCATATCAAAAATGCCCTCTCATACGCCAAGCGCTTGCATCGCATGCCCCCTGAATCAGAACTATTCGGGAAAGAGGCGCACAGTCTTACATGCTCCTTCTAGGTGTACAGGTTGGCGAGCCAAGTCAGGTAACTTGGAAGATCAATATGCCCCTCAGCACCAGTTCTTCAAAATGGTTTCGTTTTCAATCACCTTCTCTTTCCATCCATCACACGCGATCATTACCATAGCCTTGCCGACTTTCTCCGGATCTATTGACGCAGCAGCACTTTGCCCTAGCCCTGGAACGAGTTTCTTCGATGACGGCGCTAATGTCGGCGGGGGAGTGTCTGGCATTCTGAAGTTGGCAGGCCGGAGAGTGTATGCTTCGAATTTGCCCTTGTAAGAATTAACGATTTCGGCTATTCCTTTTTCCAAATCATTTGCCAGTTTTCGCTTGTCATTTGCAAACATCAAGGTTTTCTTGCTCTTCTCCGTATGCTTCGGGCTGCAGTAAACGAAACGAAACTTGACTCCTCCCGGCGTCTTATCAGCGAGTTTCTCACACAAAATCTTCGCTGAAGCAATAGGAAGATCAACCCCAACCCTGCGTTCAATGAACTTATCAGTTTTCGCCTGCTCTTGACGGGCGCCAATGGCCCTAGAATAGGGGGGGTTGTTAGTTATATTGTAAATTATGCCACGTATATCGCAAGACTGGGAAAGGAGATGGTCTCCCGAGTTCATGCGTTCAACGTACCATATGCAAGCTTCTGAACCTTGCATTCTGCGAATCAAGTAGTCGGAATATTGCGTGAAATCCTGATGCATTATGACATCCGCTTTCGGGTGACTTTCGATTTCTCCAGGCAGTCCTCTCCTGGTAAGAATCACAACTTTGGTGATGCGCTCGTCTTCGAGGCACTTCTTAACAACTTCCTGGCCAGCCCGGCCGGTGGGCCCAGTTACAATGACCTTCATGGAATGTGGTAACTAGGAACTGGTACGGCGGCGCAATTCTCGAGGTCGCCTTAATCGAGCAATACAGGTCGCCACCCAACGTGAGTATTGACTGGGAAACTGGGTAGCACGGAAAAGGTGACTGAGTTCCAGGCAGTCAACCAACGAGACTCGGCGTGTTGTAGAGAAAATCTTCAACGTGCGTAATCTGTGCACAGACAAAGTTTTAGTGCCTAGGCTGTGAAGGACTAAGGAATATAAAAGCAGGAAGGACTACAGTGAGAGGGGTCTCGCAATAATGCTGGAAAACCAGACTCCCCTGGATTGTCCAAAATTGGCATGCGGACAGCTCCATTCAATGAACAGAGGTTGAGATAGTTGAAGGATAGATATTTACCACGACGGTCCATCAGTGCAGCCTTCAATCAATCGTGGCTCAACTGAGTGCGTATATCATGGCTGAAGCCATGCATGGGTTCCGAGGCTTGGCATGGGCCTCAGCCTTCAAATGCACCAGTCGACCGGATCGGCATTGATGTGCAATGATTCAAAGGTATCAAATTGCAAGTTACTCCCCACGTACCTGTGAGTGTATTGCCTCTTTCTGCTTCTTCCAAGCAAGTTTGCAATTCCCCAAAATAAAATACGTCAGAGGAGGTAGAATCGCCAAAGCGTATCCAGCATTCGAGAATGGCGAGTAGTTGGTAGATGCCAAGCAACGGGCCACGGCAATGCAGCAAAACTGCGCCAAGCAAATGATCGGATGGTAGCTAACTGTCATAGCACGGCTCGAGCCGGGGGGTCCAGTTGTCACAATGCCACAGTCAATGGAAAGCGGCTATGTCGCAAACACCTGCTAGATATGGCCTCAGTACCGAGCTTGACCAAAGCGCTGCGAGGCCAAGGACTAAGGACTCAGGAGTGGCTCGGTGCTGACGCCGACCGATATATAGCGTAGCTTGCGTAAGTAGGTGAGGCGAAGTGAGTCGGCGCGAGAAGCCAAATGGGATACCTAGCCTCAAAAGGAGGCTGGGATAGTCAGAACGGGAGCGAAATTGAACCTTGGTCGTCCACGCATTAGACACCGAGTCTGTGATGAGGTTTAAGTCTGCCAGCGGAGCAAGAATCTCTCACGAGTGTGCACATATGGTCCGTCCACCTGCTGTCGCAACCTATTGTCGGAGTCCCAGCAAGCCTTCTTTTTCCTTGTCGGATATATTATTAGTGCCCGGAGTCTAGTAAGCCAGCAGCCCAATTGTGACCACCAACGATTGCGCTAGAGTCCTGCAGCTGGGGGATGTTGGGACGGGCTGACCAAACACCTGAACGGACAAGTGGGAGGACTGGAGCTGGGAGGGGGAGCTTGCAGGATCCGGACTTGCAGCGGAAATAATTGTCTGAGGTGCAGATCATCGACTTGACCCGTGTGCTTATTTGGCTCATTGACCCAGTCGCACAATGATCGACGCGACGTCCACGACGGCTAGGGCAGAGGTCAGTCAACACTTCAGGGGCCCTCGAATAATGTAGAATTAGGGTAGGTTGCGCCGCGATCTCGCTCCAAGGTTGGATATACCAAAACGTAAATCAAGGAAATGGCCAACACCAGCACCGGAAGTCTGGGATGTCAGAACGGCAAGCTACTGCCTCGGATTCCCCGCTCTGGATGGGGGATACGGACAGGGTATAGGAGAGGAGCATATGAGAGGCCTCCGAGGTTCTAAACTCACGCGAGTTCCTTTGAAGTTGGCTGGACGCGGCCAAAGATTGAATGCAGCTCAGACATGCGGACTTATCTGGTCCAAGTTGAAACGGACATCTGCAGGTAAATCTGTGGCTTCAACTGGCACGTTGGTGGGGAAGGAGCTCCCGCAGGTGTCAGGCCCCAAGTTGCCAAATTCAACCGACTTGGAAGGGTCCAGTTGGCAGTGACTCCGGTTTGGCCCAGATGTCCCGACGTCGTCCTGGTGCCGAATCCACATGCATGTGTGCATTCAAAGCACTTGAGTCCTCATCCCGCACAAGGCATCTCGAGGAACATGGCACCTCGAAATTCGGAATGTTACTTATGATTTTGGCACGTCTGGCCATGCCAACATACCCCGATGAGTACCACTCTCGCCGAGTCACTGTCGGAGCAACCCAGCTCTTCCCCCCCACAGACACACTGGTCGGTACACTTGGGGTCGTCACACCCATGCGTCTGTCGACAGAATCGCATCGCACAAAGGATAGACAGAACCTCCTCCACAAACTGTTTCCGGTTCCTGGTCCCGAATGTTTCGGCAGACGTACCCTCGGCTTTTTGATATGATGCCCAAGCAGCCAGCGTATCCCATCACGCCTCTATTACTGTATCGTTTTGTAACTTGGCGGATTTACCGTCATGTGATGCAGCATTCGACGTGCCGACTATCCGAGGGACTGGTGCACTTTGCTGATCAGCGCGCAATTGTCTACTCAGTACAAGCCACGGTTTATTATCGCCCGATACGGGTGGACGTCCTGCTTCTGGCCTCACTGCATCAGCACGGGGTAACGACGGGCTGCGTTTCCCATCCGCCGCCCTACTTGGAGCCAGTCGCCACCCCAGCTGATATTCGCACGACTCCGACGCTCGACCCATCTCTTCTAATGATATGATGCTTCTAAAAAAAATTGTTACCAAACAGCGGCTGCCTCCAGCCTCAGCTGCGTCAGCTCGTGCAAATGAGCAGGGGAATAAAGGTCGAGCCAACAGTCTCCGTCCTGTCGAGAGCCTATGCTTAATTAGTGACGCTCCGATCCTGAATTTCGAGGTTCTACGTGAGTGAACCAGGCAGTCTACTGATTTTTTATGCCAGACCTGTATCCAATGATGGATACGATAAACCCAGGATACGACATGTAGTCCGAGTGCTACACTTTTGTATCAAGGTCTTTTGCTACCCAACATTAAGATATTCCACATTAATAGCTCACAAGCCAACCCCCCCATATCCATACCCTGTAGCAGCAAGTAGTATCATGAAGAAGAGTATAAACAATACTTACTCGATTTAAAAGCAACGCTGAAGAAAACCTCGAACTGACAGCTGCCCATCCAGGCTTCTTCCAGTATCCGGCTTGCATATTTGACGGGTTGGAACCGTACACGAGTATGCAAAAGTGCTGTCCACACATGGTTGCACATAGTGATATTGGAAAGTTAGAGTATGTGAAAACGAAACCGGCACGCCCATAAAAAAGCGCAGCATGGTGTACAGTCGTCCATCAGCAAGTCACCCGCATCTCCTGATTCCCCAGACCGACCGGATTCACCGCGACCATCAGAAGGCAGCCGATGCACCAGCGAGTCCCAAAGCACCGACGCTCAACATGTGTGTCTTTCCGCTCGCAATCCGCTTAACTACATGACCCATCAGCAATGCCTGAAATGCCCGATACGCAAAGGATTCACTTACAGTCTTCCCACGTAATAGGCTTCTTCAAGTCCCCTTTGGCCTCCTTCCACAGCCTCGCTGCCCAAAAAGTCACCAGCAAATCTAAATCTTCCCCTCGAGCGTCACTATCATATCCAACCTCGGCAACACGTCCACGGTCCCATCCTCGTTCCTCCTCAGCCTCCTTTCCAGCGCAGTCACCACACCGTTTTCATCCTTCTATTGAATGTGGGCATCTAGGTGGTATCGCACCTTTTGGACGCCGTAGACGGTGGTGGCCGCGTCGCAGGGGGGCATTGCTAATTTCGTACAGGATCCGAGAGGGCAGCTAGGGGGAGTAGATGGTGTAATTGTCGAGTATGAACGTGTAATGGCCTGAGCCGGCCTGACGATCGTTTGACTAGCTCGAGGCTACGGATTCGTATGAAGCTGGGCTTGCCGTCATTTCGGTTGCTGGATGCTGGCCGTCGAGAACGGTGGTTGAATTTAACATGTTATTGTTGAAATCAAGAATCAACAGATATCTAGTATTACGGGTCATTTGACCAGCACGTACGGCTTGGCCATGCCCAGCCGCCGCCTGTTGTCGTGGCCGTCCGACATCATTGGGCCTTGACGCCACGAGGTCTCCCTGTGCTCCTCGTCGTCTCACCCACAAAGACTTGACCCTACGACAATCAATGCAATGAGAGTGTTGGTCATCCCAGGCCTGCATGAAATAAGCTGACACAGAGCTAGCTTTTCTGGAATGGGGACAAGATGCCCGTTGCCACGTTCCCGGGTTCCGCGGCAGGCTCCATGGCCGTTGGCTGGGTTTGCCATAAAGAATTGACTCAATTGCTCCGTTTGCAGAGGGCGATAACGAGTATCGACAGGCTGCAGCGGATGGGACGGGTTGACGGGAAAAGTGGGCAGGCAAAAAGGCAAACAGACCGTCAGACACCGCGATAGTGCTTCTACAACAATGTTGGCGAATGGGATGCTTTGCCAGAGCCGATGGCTGAGCTATGCGAGTCTCATTTGCCTCTGGAATCTTTGCGTCGAGCCAAACAGCGTGCCAGTGTATTTTTGGAGGCTTGCATTCGAACCCATTGTTCCACACTTCCAACAGCACCAGTCAAGCCCCCCCCGCGCAACGATATCATTATCAAATGGGTGCAAAATTAAAAAAAAAAGACGATGCAAAAGAAAAGCGTAACTGTATTAATCTATTAGGGAAAATGTCATCATCGTCTCATCAGGTGGAGCCCCCCTTTCCCTTTGGTCACCCTGCTCCTTGTAGTCGTCATCAGTTGCAAATGTAGGCGTCAACGCTGTGGGTAGGAATCGTCATTACTGAGCCCAGCTCAATACCGTCTGGTTGAACTTCTCCAGCTGCCCAATGTCCGTGGCCCAGGTGGTGAGAAGCCGTACCACGGCCCAATCCTCTCCACACCTTTCCCAGACGTAGAAAGTAAAGTCCTTCTGGAGCTCCTGCACAAGATCCGTCGGGAGAATGGCAAACACCTGGTTGGTCTCCGTCTCTGCGCGCAGCACGTAGCCGGCTCCGACAATGGTCCGCGACAGCTTCTCCGCTGCGCTGTTTGCCCGCCGCGCAAGGTCATAGTACAAGTTATCTCGGAAGAGCTCTGCAAACTCAACGCCCATGATGCGGCTCTTGGCCAGAAGGGACCCGTGCTGCTTGATGTAGAACTCGAAATCTTGCGCGAGAACGGGGTGCTTGACAATCACGGCCTCGCCAAGCAGTGCGCCGTTCTTGGTGCCCCCAATCCAGAAGATGTCGGTTAGCTCAAGAATGTCGGCAAGAGTCATGTCATTCTTTGTCGAGGTGAGCGCGGCGCCAATGCGGGCACCGTCCATGAACAGCAAGAGTCCCTTCAATTCGCAAAGCGTCTTGATTGCCGTCAATTCTTCCTTGGAGTAGACCGTGCCGACTTCAGTAGCGTTTGAAATGTAAACCAGCCGGGGCTTGGCCATGTGCGGGAAGTGCCAATTGTCATCCAAAGCCTTGTTGATGGTCTCGGGTGTCAACTTGCCATTCGTGGGAGGAACATTGATGATCTTGTGGCCGCTCGCCTCCACAGCTCCAGTCTCTCTCGTAACAATGTGACCAGAGCTGGCAGCGATGACAGCTTCGTGCGGTCGAAGGCACGCAGCAATGGAGATGGCATTTGCCGATGTACCACTAGGAACAAAGAACACACCAACGTCATCGCGGCCTAGATGGGCGCGAATGTTTTGCTTCGCCTCAGCAGAGTATCTGTCGTTACCGTACCCGGTTTCCTGCGTATGATTGCTGGTAATGAGTGCCTCCAGAAGCTGTGGATGAGCTCCTTCACTGTAATCATCCAAGAAGCTATACTTCTCTTTGGCGGTGTATCCTGTGTCAGGCATTTTTCTTGTTGGTAATAAACGATGAGTGGCAGGTCGGGGTACATAAACGTTGGGCCCTTTCTGTTTTTGCTTAATATCTCCAAACCAGCAACGCTCGATGACATATAGACAACCTGGTATGCCGGGTGTCTTTGCGAGGTCCTCGGGCTTGAACGTTTTCGTCTACAACGGGGTTCCAGTGGAAAGACAGCGAAGATGGAATCAACATTCCAAGTAGTTGAGAATCCAGGAACACAGCCATCAGACACGGGGCCTCGACTGGCTGCCAGACTTCAAAACTCTGCCAGTGCCAGTGGCGGGGTTCGCAACCACCTCCCTCCCACAAGGCCCGTCGGATGCCGATACATGCCGGTGATGATTCTGACGAATGTCGCGAAGTGTTTGTACGGGCAAAAGTGGGTTTACCGTTGCGATTCTCCCTATAGCGGACAACTTCTTAGTCAAAGTTTTCCCCTTATAGCGCTGTTACTAATAAGCTAGAAAGACAATTGCGCGCCAATTACGCCAGTTCCTCTGATTGATCCCGGCCCATCCGTCCAGACCGCTAGAGGAGAGCCATCGAATGGTGGGCTGCGTGTCCGGAAACAGGTGAAATGGCCACCTGATCTTGTCGAAAATAGCCAAAAGGCACCATCGTGAGATAATAACAATAAACCTTACCCTTCTGGCGGGCCACTTGCATGATGGGTTGGCGCATGTCTCACAAACGAGGCTTTGCGGGGGCCTGCTGGGCAGCCATGCGCGAACATGCAGCGTCGCCGATGTCGGCGGGGCTTGAGAGTAATAGCATCTCGTGGTGTCATGTATGCAAGTAGTTCGTAATGCGCCTAGTGCTCTGGAGATTTGGTATTGTCGTGTTGTTAGAGCCTTTGGAACCCTCGGGACCTTCCCAAGTCGGGGCGCTCCCTCATAAGCCGAGATCAACCAGATGGTCTGCACGGAGTCGTTCGCCCAGTCGTGTGACAAAGACCCATGCCGCTCGCGCAAGTTCGTCCGACACGGAACCAACTTTGACGATCTTCAAGCGGGATTGTGCAAGCATAAATCCACCGCATGAAATCTGCACAACCCGCACACTGGGATGGAACATGTTGAGCGCGAGGTGATGGTCAAGATAACGGGCGAGTGCCTCGGTGAATGGATGCTCATCTGGTTCCTGGCTTGCCCGCCAACCCCAGCCGTCATCTGCGTTTCCACCAGCCAGCCGTCGACGTTCCCTGATATCGTTCTCCCAAGGGCCCGAGCTGCTGCTTCTGTACATTTCGCCGGATTGCTCACCGCGGCGGAAAAAACGGCGTAGATCCTGCGGCGCGATGGTAATGTCCATGCCACGGAGTCCTGGATCCGATGACATGCCGTCGTTGTCACTTTCATCCTCCGATTCTGTCGGGCCAGACGGCTCTTTCTTAGCTATCGGGGCATTAAATGCTAGCGAAATTGCAAAGTCTGGGCCCTTTCCCGGCAAACCTGCCGTCTTGATCCAATCCTCCCAGACTGTGACGAGCGTTCGTGTACCCAAGTTCAGCTTGCTTACTCGGCAGTCAAATGTGGTTGATATCCAATCGCCAATTACACCTTTGAGAGCTTGCGGCATCCGTAATAGGAGAAGTGGCAGATGGATGAATTGATCTTGGTTGATCTTGGTATCGGGAGCGTTGCCATCAGACTGCATGGTGAAGCCATGCGTTCCTGATCTTCTATCCTTCACAGTGCCTGGGTGTCCCGGCAGTAGCAGTGCGATGTAAGCCGCGTTCTCATGTCGTATTTCAATCCAGAGGCCTCTTTTGTATGTCTCCTGTAGTCGGTTCCATTGGCGCATCACTGTGTCGGTGAGCCCAGAGCCTCCATCTTGTTCCGTGTAGAAGAGGTCACGATCCAGCAATCTCTGTGCATGAAACCAGCGAATCTTGACCGACCTAAGCGAGCCAACTTGCCCAGCTGGCGTGTCTGTCGACTCGAGACCAATTTGAATACCGCGTACAACATCTCCTACCAGTGTATCCCGAAGGCGATGAGCCAGCTGCTCCAGCCGCGATGACGTTAGTTCCTGTCGTCCCACGTATAATGGAGACACGCGGTGCGTAGAGAAAGTGGTGTTGAAAAATGGAGGCAAGACTTCTTCTGCGGCGTCACTGTCGTCGTCTGCCAAATCATTACGAGAACGTCCAGCTCTCGGCGGCATCGTGTCTTTGCAGCCGTCACAATGCAAAAGCTTGGTGTCGCGTGAGGCTGACGCGTCGCACTCTTTCTAGTACGATTATGCCTTGTAAAATGGTGTTCGTAACGAACAGAGTGACATATACCACGTGAATCTCTGAAGAAAGAAGTGAAAACCTGGATGCGGCGGGCTTTGCTGTTGGGCGGGTTGAAGTTGTCTTGGTGTTCTATCAGCGCGCAATAATTTTGATGACTAAGGTTTTGCTTGGGGCAATTGAAACTATTTACCCTTCGATGAACAACTATCGGATAGTTACATACATAAAAATCGTCAATGATGTTGATCCCGATGAAAAGAAAGGATTAAGGAAATTCATTTCTTTAAACTTTGTAACGTTTTCAAGTTTGAATTTCGAATTTCTGTTCTTTTGTATTCCTGGTACTGAGTACGGACTAGATAGCTTCAGAATATCCTTCAGAATCGCGCAGGTTGCAACGACGTTCAGTTCTCCACCAACACATCAAGCTTGGCTTTTGTTAATCCCTGCGTACACTGCCTAATATCGAATTTGCTAAAATAGAAAAGAAAAGGAGAAAAGAAAAAAGAGAGCCTTAGAAGAGCGATCAAAGGTAGTATTTAGCAAAACACACATACACACCCCGCGACTTTAATGCCTTTACTTATGGAAGGGGATAGTTCTCAGGTCGGCCAAGCGAGCAAACGACTAAAATCCGGCGCATAAAAT